TTTCCTGCCTCCCTGGTGCCTCGCAGACTGTCCAATTGATCCTTTCCTGCCTCCCTGGTGCCTCGCAAACTGTCCAAATGGTTCTCTCCTGCCTCCCTGGTGCCTCCCTGGTGCCTCCCTGGTGCCTCGCAAGCTGTCCAATTGATCCTTTCCTGCCTCCCTGGTGCCTCTCAAGCTGTCCAGGTGCCTCTCAGGCTGTCCAATTGATCCTTTCTTGCCTCCCTGGTGCCTCCCAGGCTGTCCAAATGGTTCTTTCCTGCCTCTCTGGTGCCTCGCCAAGCGGCTCGAAAAGCCTTTGCTGAGGGCGTCTTTCCAAGAATGGGGTTTAGGGTAATAGAATGTATCAATGATCAATGCATCGTGACAGATGCAGGTCTGGCTCAGCCTGCTGGGGAGGCTCCAGTTCAGGACTGGCTGGCAAGTTTTGCAGCCCAACAAAACTTGCAGCGCCTCGCTGACACGCTCGGGCAACGCCCGCTCACCCCATTAGGTGATGTAGGGGTGGCGGGCGGGTTTAGAGTTTAGGGTTTAGGGTTTAGGGTTCAGTGGGTTTCAGGGTTCAGAGAAAGGCGTCGCCACGGGTAACATCCCACCCGCCCAAGGTTCCCTATACATTGCAGATATACACCCTTTTTAATCACGTGGTCAACCCTTCTCCTCTTCTAGAGGCCCCCTGGTGCTTCGCAGGCTGTCCAATTGGCCCTTTCCGGTTTCCTTGGTGCCTCCCAGGGTGTCCAAATGGTTCCTTCCTGCCTCCCTGGTGCCTCCGAAGCTCTCCACTTGATCCTTTCCTTAATCCCTGGTGTCTCGCTAGTGCTACGGGCAGCCAACCGTGGAGCCCACCCCAGGATTTGCCGCGAACCGGGCCGATCGCCATTGAAATTGTATTAAAAGTTATACAAAATCCGGCGCCCATCCAAAACCGGGATTCGATCGGCAATCCTGTGCTACAAGCCTCCCTGGTGCCTCCCACGCTGTCCAAATGGCTCTTTCCTGCCTCCCTGGTGCTTCGCAGGCTGTCCAATTGATCCTTTCCTGCCTCCCTGGTGCTTCCCAGGCTGTCCAAGTAGTTCTTTCCTACCTCCCTGGTGCCTCCCAGGTGCCTCGCAGGCTGTTCAAGTGATCCTTTCTTGCCTCCCCGGTGCCTCGCAAGCTGTCCAATGAATCCTTTCCTGCCTCCCTGGCGCCTTTCAAGCTTTCGAAATTGTTCTTTCCTGCCTCCCTGGTGCCTCCCTGTCAAAGGCAATCTTGTGCTCCGAGCGGCTTTTTAAATGCCAGTCTGTGCTACGGGCAACCAACCATGGAGCCCACCCCAGGATTTGCCGCGAACCGGGCCGATCGCCATCACAGTTGTACTAAAATTTAAACAAAATCCGGCGCCCGTTCAAAATCGGGATTCGGGCCAATTGGATAGCCTGCGAGGCACCAGGGAGGCACCAGGGAGGCTGGAAAGGACCAATTGACAGCCTGCGAGGCACCAGGGAGGCAGGAAAGGACCATTTAGACAGCCTGGGGGGCACCAGGCAGGCACTAGGGAGGCAGGAAAGCACTAATTGGACAGTCTGCGAGGCACCAGGGAGGCAGGAAAGGACCAATTGGACAGCCTGCTAGGCTCCAGGAAGGCACCAGGGAGGCAGGAAAGGATCATTTGGACACCCTAAAAGGCACCAGGGAGGCAGAAGAAGGGTTTAGACCCTAAACCCTGGTTGGGCGACCCGTTTGGGAATTACGACCCCATTAAGGTTTAAATATACATTTGATATATAGATTTAGGGTTTAGGGTTTAGGGTGTTCACGGCTCACGGCGTGCGCCTTTATCGGGGCGGCTATCGATCATTTTTTAACGCCGCCCCTCCCCACTGCGCACGCCATCACGTTGCGGACAAGCCCACCCCAAGGCCACCCAA